AAGGTCGCCAACAAACCAAATTGAATAATTTTAGAGAATATAATTTACAGAATATTCTGCAAGGCTATATCAACTTCGGCTCCGCCCGAAGTAAGCTTTCCTTTCTTGTTTTAGTTACAATTAGCTTGAGTTTGAAATAAAGAAATATGCTTAAAACACCTACATTTATTTAAATTAAGTTTTACGCTTTTTTATAATATGAAAAAAAAATATTGTAAGTCAGGTTAAAATGTCAGGCCTAATAAAAAGCGTCCGGCTTGTAAAAAAAACCAATTTTATTAAATATAATTTATTACAATATTACCTGGTAGCTGTGCATGTATTTCATAGATACGACTTCCGTTTCGGGGATAAAAACGGAAATTGAGGTCTTGTGGATGTGCCTGGGAGGGAGAGCCATCAAGTATTATCAATACATTTGTATCCAAGCATGACTGAATAGCACTGTGATTTGGACATATCCGAAACTCAAAATATCTGTAAAGAGTTGTATATGCTTTAAAACATTGGGGAGCATAAGATATAATTTGTTTTACCCCATATGACTAGCAGTTAATTCTACACGAATAGTCATTTTGGATCCAGGCAAATAATTCCGCACGATTAAGCCTAGACCCCATTGGCCACCATGTTCATGGGGGCGTGGTTCCGGAATATCCCATGCGTCTCCGCACTCCCCACACTTACCGCCGTTTCTTTTCCATTGTCTGGTAAACCCGCCACAGTATAGTTCATGGTCATTGTAGTCGGGCGGTGTTTGAAATCCAAAGCGCCAAGCGGATGCTCTACTAGGTGGCTCAATCAGTCTCCCGTGACCGTTGCAGGTCATAAAAGAAAACGAAGTGGCAAAAATAAAGCCAATGGACCATTTTTTCAAATAACTCATTCTGTCTTCATTAGAATAATACCTTCCTGATTTTAAAAAGACAATAATTGAGTAAAAATGCCAATCAGATTTGGGGTATATAGTTATATTTTTAACCCATTTTATTATTAGGGAACTTATGCCTTTAATGATATATATTCTTGATCAGGGTCATCAGTCGTCGATTCAGCTAGGTCTGTCAGTTTGTCCGCCTGTTTTTATAAACAAAGAGATCTCATGAACTTTAAAAATAAGATCGCTTTTTCGTGCTGACTCTCGTTGTGTCTAAGATTCACTAAGATTATTTTGAAAATTGGCCGAAAAGTTCTAGGGCGTTAAATATTTATTCGTTCTATTTATCCAATATCTATAGTATCTATATTTTATTATTTTCCGCTTTGATGTTGGAAACAATTAGACGAATAGACAGACTCACATATTTTACGTGGCCATGTTCAAGTAACGTATTCCCTATGCCTGTGACATTACCGTTTTGATAAGTACATTAGTAGCTGCATCTGTGCCTGAAAATCCAAAAATGGTATTCGAGCGCTAAGCCAAAGTTTAAAACATTAAAAAGAAAACGGGAACACTTTGAAGTAGCTTTGAGATAAATGTAATATTCTATAAAACGACTCCATGTCAATTTCTATTTTTATTTCATATAACCATTAATTTTGATATCGTAAAAAGTACATATGTATGTATATCTCATGTGTATACAACGAAGTTATTTCATTTTCAGTAATTTTTAATGAGAACTTCCGTTTAATTTAAAACCTACAAAAAGTATATTTTTTAAAATCGTAAAGATAATAATAATAATTTTTAATCTATTTGTTAAGGTCTTTTCTATGGCTTCGGCTGGAATACTACCTAAAATAGCAGATATCTTTCAAACTGAGACTAGTTTGCGGCCGGACAGACGGTCATGGCTGACACGATTTTCAAACAATTTTTTTACTACTGGTGACAGAGTGGCAGATTGATGTTGGGTAAAATCGTTGTTTAAGAAATGTATTCTTGTTTCAGATTGCAAACGTTTAGCAAAGTTTCCTTATCCATACAATAAATAAGCTTAACTAGTTTATTTAAATCAAGAAAAAACAAGAAGGAACACTTTAGTCGAACTCCACGACAATAAGAAATCCGTACTCAATTTTAAAATAAATATATTCCCGTAAAAGAACGAACAGTACTCCGCATGGATTTGGCTAATGAATAATCCCGAATTCGAATTCCCCGTTTCTATGCCAGCTATTTGATATTGTTGTCCGATTTTAATTTAATTAAAACCGTAATTCCATAATATTTAAATATTACCAAATCCCAAAAAACAAAAAACAAATTAAATACAAAGTTATAATTTTTTTGAATTGTTTTTTCCGATTGGTCCTATGGTAGCTATACGATATAGTCGTCCGTCTTGTTCCGACTTATATACTGCCTGCAATAGAAAGACAACTTTTGGAAAAGTTTCAAGCAGATAGCTTTAAAACTGAGGGACTAGCTTGCGTAGAAACGGACGGACGGACGGACGGACAGGCGGACGAACGGAGCTACGGACATGGCTAGATCGACTCTCCTGGTGATGCTGATCAAGAATATAAATACTTTATAGGGTCAGAAATGTCTTTTTCACTGCGTTGCAAACTTTTGACTGAAATTATAATACCCTCTGCAAGGGTAAAGAAGGATTACATCAAAAGCACATGGAATTTTAATTCGTGTCTTCTTTTTAAGAAGTGGACTCACTCGCTGGACTCACTTTGTTGCTCTACTTAAAATTTAGTTTTTTAAAGACTAGTACTCAGATTGTAGTAAGACATCATTTTTAGAAAGTTCATTAAAATTGAGTGGCTACGGTTTGTTGACCAACAGTTACAATTTAAAAATCTTGTTTGCGGGACTGATCCTTTGTTTTGCAAAGGAATATATTAATAATAATGAACTACCGTGTCAAAACAACTCTGCCGCTGTGCAAAGAAATTAAAAAACAAAATTTACTGATAATTATTTGCTTATTTAACGTTCATAGCTGCACTAAGTTCTTGTCTACTTTTGACCTAAGAAATAACTTAAGAAATGGGACAAATAAGATGTGACATTGAAAAAAACAGTTTTTTAATCAACAGAGAATTAATAACATAACTTTCTTTTGCAGAATATGATATACTTGAGGAAATGTGTATCTATTTAACGTAATTTGCTGAGTTTTTCCAAACCACTTATAGTTCGACAGCTTGGTCAAATTCTAACTACCCTACTCCCTTAAATAGGGCAAATTGTATTTTTACCCCTTTAATTACTGAAAACTCTCTCTTAATAGATTTAGAAACTACAACGCCGACTTATTCTCCCGGTTCAGATGGACTTCCTGGATGTGTGCTCAAGTTTTGTGCGTCAACCATTTGTAAACCGATTCTTAAACTTTTTAATTTGTCTATTTCATCATCAGTTTTTCCTACTATCTGGAAAGACTCTTTTATTATTCCACTTCATAAAAAGGGTGCGAAGGCTGATGCCAAGAATTATAGAGGTATTTCCAAATTGTCGGCAATTCCTAAAGCATTTGAACGTATTATCACTTCTCATTTGCAACATTTATGTTCCTCGCTTATATCACCGGGCCAGCATGGTTTTGTTAAGCGAAGATCGACCACCACCAACCTTCTTGAATTGTCATCTATTGTAATAAATGGATTTCAGAAAAAAATGCAGACTGACGTTATATATACAGATTTTAGTAAGGCCTTTGACTCCGTCAACCACTCTCTTCTCTTATTCAAATTAGATCTGCTTGGGTTTCCTGGTAATCTATTAACTTGGATTTCAAGTTACTTGAATGGTAGGACTCAGAGGGTTATATTCAAGAATTCAGTTTCAAAATTGATCTACGTGACTGGGATCAAAACGTAAGGCTACCTTCCTACAACAGTAGATTACTGTTGCTTAATTTACCTACACTTGTAAATCGTAGAAAAATGCACTTGCGTTCCGACGATCTTCGAGGAAACATCAGCAACAAGGTAAGTGTTCTGGTAGATAGTCTTGGTAGTAGTAGTGGATCCGTAAGAACGCGGTTTATAAATCGGTTCTACGACCTGGACAGGATCACTGACGTCCCGGTGTGGATTCCTAGAAATCAGCCCAGACCCAGTCGTGATCACTGAGGCGGCCCGGTTTTCGTAATACAGGCCCACCTCAGTGAGTTCCCCCAGAAGTCACGTTTCCGGCTCCCGACCCGGAAACGAAACGGATGTAGAAACGGCAGTTCGAACCTAGCGATGCCCGGCAGACCGAAACTAACGATGCCCTACATTCCCGAATCCCACTAGAAACCAAGTAGATCTCTCCCAACGACCCAGAACACTTCGACCCGACGTACGCACGACGAAGCAGTTCATCACTCGGCTCATCCGCAGCGCCGATACTCGCACCAAGCAGTTCATCACTCGGTTCACCCGCAGCACCGACACTCGCAGCAAGCAGTTCATCACTCGGCTCACCCGTAGCGCCGACACTCGCAGCAAGCAGTTCAGTACTCGGCCCATTCGCAGCGCCGACACTAGCAGCAAGCGGTTGATCACTCGGCCCTTTCGCAGCGCCGAAGCTCGCACACCGGATCTCGACAGCAAGCAGTTCATCATTCGGCCCTTCCGAAGCGCCGAATCGACAGGGCAAGCAGTCCCGACGCATCTACACACAACTACACGATCATACGATTACTTTGAAATACACGTCTCTAGTTTTACCCATCTGTGTCATTATTGGGGAAAGGGAGGTAAACCGATCTATAGAGGAATAAATATAAATATCTGTCACGAACCCTGACCACGCCGAGCTATACCGCCTCCCAAAACAGGGTCGTTACACGCGTTTAAAGTGCCGATACTGCTTGACGCCAGAGCCCGAATTGCCTGTTGTGACTCATTCGACGCGCTGGGCTTTAAATTTCTCCCATTCCTAGTTTTGCTTCGATCGACTTGAAATTTTCAGACAATATTCCTGACACTTTGTACTATTATATAAAAAAGATTAAAAAAAATGAATTTTCGAATTCGAAGTGTCAAGACCCGGATAATCCCTTAATTTATATGTTTAAAAATAACGACACGGTTTTTCCACCACGGAATTAATTTTACAATTATTTTTAATTAATACTCGGATTAAAGTCTATGAACATAAATACATTGTGAGTAATTTGTGATTTAATAACTAAACTTTGTTTGGATATATTGGCAGTTGGACACAATTATGAAATAAGAACAAAATAACGCTAATTATACCTTAATTGTTTCATTTGCAAGATTTTTCTTTTTGGTTCGTAGGGGTGGGATTGGTGGGCTATCAAATTTGTCATCGCTTTTCGGTTTAAATGCATCACATGTAATGGATTTTTGAATCGAAATCCAATACATTGATATATTTTTTAGATTGTCAATTTTTTTTTTTGAACAAAATGGTTTGTTATTATTGTATAAAAAAAATAATCCAACACCACAAACAAATAATAAAAGCACTACAACTAGCGACAATATAATATTATATATAAATGTGTCACTTTGATTATTTTCTAAAATATGTTCCGTGGTTGTTGACATTCTATTAGATTGTGTAGGTATCGAGTAAAAAGGATGACTAGGACCAATAAGAAGTTGTGTATCTGTAGTTAAGGCAATGTCCGAGCACGAACGAAATTCTTCTTGTGGGCCACATCCAATGGCTCCTATACCATCGTTACACATGCCCCAATTATTGCCGGCAACATAGCGCCATTGCAGAACGCATTGGTCACATGTAAAATCTAAAATGTATAAAATAATATTTGAATATTTAAATATATGGGTCAATCTTTTACAAGCTAGGCTGATTCAAGTTTTGTGTCACGTCCTGCCAATTTTACTAAATACGTATATATTAACATTTTTATACCCTGGGTATTATAATTTCAGTCAAAAGTTTTCAACGCAGTGAAGGAGACATTTCTGACCCCATAAAATATATATATTCTTGATCAGCATCACAAGGAGAGTCGATCTAGCCATGTCCGCCTGTCTGTCCGTCCGTCTGTCCGTCCATCCGTCCGTCTGTTACTATGCAAACTAGTCCCTCACTTTTAAAGCTATCTTGCTAAAGCTTTTCCAAAAGTTGTCTTTTTATTGCAAGTAGTATATATGTAAGTCGGACCGAGCCGGATCGGGCATTCCGTGTCCAATAGGAACAACCGTAATTTGTTTTTTTTTAATATACCTGTTTTTTATACCCTTGCAGAGTGTATTATTATTTTTGGTCAAAAGTGTGCAATGCAGTGAAGGAGACATCTCCGACCCTGTAAAGTATGATCAGAATCGCCTCCTGAGTTGATATATGTAAGCATGTCTGTTTCTACGCAAACTAGTTTCTCAGTTTTAAAGATATCGAATTGAAACTTTACACACACCTTTCGTTCCTTTGCACGCAGTATATATTTCGGAACGGCCGGGATCGGTCGACTATATCTTATAGCTGCCATATAACTGACCGATCGGAAATGCCATAACTTTGGTGTTTTTAAAGTTAGGAAGTTGGGACTTTCTATGGGTTTTATTTTTGGCCAAATAATCCGACCTACCAAATTTCAAAAGGATCGGTCGACTATATCCTATAACTGTCATATAACTGAACAATTGGAAATGCCATAACGTTGGTGTTTTTAAAGTTAGAAAGTTGAAATTAAGAATGCATCATATGAATAATTTTACAAGTCTGCACCGTCGGTCGTGGGGATTAATACTGAATTTCCACGTCCGACGGTGCAGATATGTAAAATTATTTAAAAAAAATAAAATTTTAAAAACTTTTGTTTAAAAAAAAATTTTTTTTCAATTGTTAACCTTGACCCGGAAAAACTCAAAAATAAAACATTCATCAAAGGTCGCCAACAAACAAAATTGAATAATTTTAGAGAATATAACTTACAGAATATTCTGCAAGGGTATATCAACTTCGGCTCCGTCCGAAGTTAGCTTTCCTTTCTTGTTTTAGTTACAAACTTAAAACACCTACATTTATTTAAATTAAGTTTTACGCTTTTTTATTATATGAAAAAAAAATATTGTAAATCCGGTTAAAATGTCAGGCCTAATAAAAAGCGTTTGGCTTGTAAAAAAACCAATTTTATTAAATATAATTTATTACAATATTACCTGGTAGCTGTGCATGTATTTCATAGATGCGACTTCCGTTTCGGGGATAAAAACGGAAATTGAGGTCTTGTGGATGTGCCTGGGAGGGAGAGCCATCAAGTATTATCAATACATTTTTATCCAAGCAGGACTGTATAGCACTGTGATTTGGACATATCCGAAACTCAAAATATCTGTAAAGAGTTGTATATGCTTTAAAACATTGGGGAGCATAAGATATAATTTGTTTTACCCCATATGACTAGCAGTTAATTCTACACGAATAGTCATTTTGGATCCAGGCAAATAATTCCGCACGATTAAGCCTAGACCCCATTGGCCACCATGTTCATGGGGGCGTGGTTCCGGAATATCCCATGCGTCTCCGCACTCCCCACACTTACCGCCGTTTCTTTTCCATTGTCTGGTAAACCCGCCACAGTATAGTTCATGGTCATTGTAGTCGGGCGGTGTTTGAAATCCAAAGCGCCAAGCGGATGCTCTACTAGGTGGCTCAATCAGTCTCCCGTGACCGTTGCAGGTCATAAAAGAAAACGAAGTGGCAAAAATAAAGCCAATGGACCATTTTTTCAAATAACTCATTCTGTCTTCATTAGAATAATACCTTCCTGATTTTAAAAAGACAATAATTGAGTAAAAATGCCAATCAGATTTGGGGTATATAGTTATATTTTTAACCCATTTTATTATTAGGGAACTTATGCCTTTAATGATATATATTCTTGATCAGGGTCATCAGTCGTCGATTCAGCTAGGTCTGTCAGTTTGTCCGCCTGTTTTTATAAACAAAGAGATCTCATGAACTTTAAAAATAAGATCGCTTTTTCGTGCTGACTCTCGTTGTGTCTAAGATTCACTAAGATTATTTTGAAAATTGGCCGAAAAGTTCTAGGGCGTTAAATATTTATTCGTTCTATTTATCCAATATCTATAGTATCTATATTTTATTATTTTCCGCTTTGATGTTGGAAACAATTAGACGAATAGACAGACTCACATATTTTACGTGGCCATGTTCAAGTAACGTATTCCCTATGCCTGTGACATTACCGTTTTGATAAGTACATTAGTAGCTGCATCTGTGCCTGAAAATCCAAAAATGGTATTCGAGCTACCTGAAATAGCAGATATCTTTCAAACTGAGACTAGTTTGCGGCCGGACAGACGGTCATGGCTGACACGATTTTCAAACAATTTTTTTTACTACTGGTGACAGAGTGGCAGATGGATGTTGGGTAAAATCGTTGTTTAAGAAATGTATTCTTGTTTCAGATTGCAAACGTTTAGCAAAGTTTCCTTATCCATACACTAAATAAGCTTAACTAGTTTATTTAAATCAAGAAAAAACAAGAAGGAACACTTTAGTCGAACGCCACGACAATTTTAAAATAAATATATTCCCGTAAAAGAACGAACAGTACTCCGCATGGATTTGGCTAATGAATAATCCCGAATTCGAATTCCCCGTTTCTATGCCAGCTATTTGATATTGTTGTCCGATTTTAATTTAATTAAAACCGTAATTCCATAATATTTAAATATTACCAAATCCCAAAAAACAAAAAACAAATTAAATACAAAGTTATAATTTTTTTGAATTGTTTTTTCCGATTGTTCCTATGGTAGCTATACGATATAGTCGTCCGTCTTGTTCCGACTTATATACTGCCTGCAATAGAAAGACAACTTTTGGAAAAGTTTCAAGCAGATAGCTTTAAAACTGAGGGAGTAGCTTGCGTAGAAACGGACGGACGGACGGACGGACAGACGGACAAACGGAGCTACGGAGCTAGATTGACTCTCCTGGTGATGCTGATCAAGAATATAAATACTTTATAGGGTCAGAAATGTCTTTTTCACTGCTTTGCAAACTTTTGACTGAAATTATAATACCCTCTGCAAGGGAATTTTAATTCGTGTCTCCTTTTTAAGAAGTGGACTCAATCGCTGGACTCACTTTGTTGCTCTACTTAAAATTTAGTTTTTTAAAGCCTAGTACTCAGATTGTAGTAAGACATCATTTTTAGAAAGTTCATTAAAATTGAGTGGCTACGGTTTATTGACCAACAGTTACAATTTAAAAATCTTGTTTGCGGGACTGATCCTTTGTTGTGCAAAGGAATATATTAATAATAATGAACTACCGTGTCAAAACAACTCTGCCGCTGTGCAAAAAAATTAAAAAACAATATTTACTGATAATTATTTGTTTATTTAACGTTCATAGCTGCACAAAGTTCTTGTCTACTTTTGACCTAAGAAATAACTTAAGAAATGGGACAAATAAGATGTGGCATTGAAAAAAACAGTTTTTTAATCAACAGAGAATTAATAATATAACTTTCTTTTGCAGAATATGATATACTTGAGGAAATGTGTATCTATTTAACGTAATTTGCTGAGTTTTTCCAAACCACTTATAGTTCGACAGCTTGGTCAAGTTCTACCTACCCTACTCCCTTAAATAGGGCAAATTGTATTTTTACCCCTTTAATTACTGAAAACTCTCTCTTAATAGATTTAGAAACTACAACGCTGACTTATTCTCCCGGTTCAGATGGACTTCCTGGATGTGTGCTCAAGTTTTGTGCGTCAACCATTTGTAAACCGATTCTTAAACTTTTTAATTTGTCTATTTCATCATCAGTTTTTCCTACTATCTGGAAAGACTCTTTTATTATTCCACTTCATAAAAAGGGTGCGAAGGCTGATGCCAAGAATTATAGACGTATTTCCAAATTGTCGGCAATTCCTAAAGCATTTGAACGTATTATCACTTCTCATTTGCAACATTTATGTTCCTCGCTTATATCACCGGGTCAGCATGGTTTTGTTAAGCGAAGATCGACCACCACCAACCTTCTTGAATTGTCATCTATTGTAATAAATGGATTTCAGAAAAAAATGCAGACTAACGTCAGTATATACAGATTTTAGTAAGGCCTTTGACTCCGTCAACCACTCTCTTCTCTTATTCAAATTAGATCTGCTTGGGTTTCCTGGTAATCTATTAACTTGGATTTCAAGTTACTTGAATGGTAGGACTCAGAGGATTATATTCAAGAATTCTGTTTCAAAATTGATCTACGTGACATCTGGAGTCCCTCAGGGAAGTCAAATGGGCCCTTTGCTATTTACTTTGTTTATCAACGATCTTCCCTCTATCATAACACATTCTCGTGTACTAATGTACGCTGATGATGTTAAGCTTTGTTTATCATATAATCATATAGCGTCGGGATTTAACTTACAGTCAGATATTGATTGTTTTCATGAATGGTGTGAGTACAACCTTTTAAAGTTGAACTACCTTAAATGCAAAGTTGTGACTTTTTATAGGGGTACTCCTACGTTTATTAGTTATTCTCTTGAAAATACGTCACCCGACCGTATATATTCAGTTAACGATTTAGGTGTTCTTCTGGACCCTAAACTTAAATTTGACTGCCACATAATGTCCACTGTTAATAAAGCCATGAGTGTTCTTGGCTTTATAAAGCGATGGTCAAAAAAATTTGATGACCCTTATACGACCAAATTATTATTTACCTCCCTTGTCCGTCCTATTTTGGAATATTGTTCGTCGGTTTGGAGTCCACAATATCAAGTGCCCTTCGTAGTTTGAACTGGGATCAAAACGTAAGGCTACCTTCCTACCAGAGTAGATTACTGTTGCTTAATTTACCTACACTTGTAAATCGTAGAAAAATGCTTGGTACTATTTTTAATGCTTAATCTTATAAGAGGTGATATTGATTCTGCAGAACTTGTTAACCGCCTAACTTTCAATGTTCCTGTTAGACTAACACGAAATTATATTCCTCTAAATTTGCCACGATGTTCATCAAATTTTTGTCTGCACGAGCCCTTTTGCGTTCTATGTAATACTTATAACAACCTTTATCATCTAATTTGCATTTCCACTTCTATCCCGTTATTAAAAACTAATATTTTAACTCATTTGCTTTCCTCTTAATTGTGCCTTTTATTTTCACTTGTGTCTTGTCTCTATTTAATTTATGTATTTTCCTCGCGAACTCGCATTTATTGCCCAAATTGATAATAGGGCCCGCGCGTAACAAGCTCGTGCTTGGTGTTGTTGGGCACTTGTTTGTACTGCTCGTAGTGCATCATCGTCCATCAGAATAAAAAAATAAAACATTTCCAGAAAAGTTGTTTTTTATCACGGTTTTTCTATTAAAAATAAACTAACAACTTAATTTAACATAACTTATATACTTAACTTATACTGCAAATATATGTATTAATATTTTCATGAAAAGTATATGATCAAGCTGCTAGGCTGATAAAAATCCAATGAATTACTAGTTAATATGCATTGATTTACCGGTTAAAATGCGCTAATTATACCCGTTACTCGTAGAGTAAAAGGGTATATTGTATTCGTGCAAAAGTATGTAACAGGTAGAAGGAAGCGTTTCCCACCCTATAAAGTATATATATTCATGTTCAGGATCACTAGCCGAGTCGATCTAGCCATGTACGTCTGTCCGTCTGTATGTCTGTCCGTCCGTATGAACGCTGAGATCTCGGAAACTATAAAAGCTAGAAGATTGGCATTTTGCATGTAGATTTTAGGAGTTCCTACGCAGCGCAAGTTTGTTTCAAAATGGTGCCACGCCCCCTCTGACGCCCACAAGCCACAAGCTGTGGCCACAGTTTTGATGCTATTATGAAAATTTTAATTGATATGTATTTGTTTCGTCAATACCTATCGATTGGCCTAATAAAAGTTTGCCACGCCCACTCTAACGCCCAAAAACCCATTAAACGCTTAAGCCTGGCTAGCGCCTACATTTCAGGCTTTCATGGCCCGTGGTACCAATGTCTTAGGGTTGATGGCGCAATACAATAGCGCCATCTAACGTGTGACTTTGGAACAGCTGGTCAAGGTGCTCAACAGAGTCAACGTTAATTCTCGATAAGGATTTCTATTAAAGGAAATTGCGATGGTTTTCATTTGTCAATACCGAACTATATCCCAAGAACTATGCAAATCAAATCAAGTCAGCCAAATTGGAGGTCTGAGTCAAACAATGGCGTATGTGTGTATGTATGTAAGCATATACATATGTATGTATTTACATTGTACACAGTTGCAATTGCCCGGCAAAGATAACTCCTTTCAAAGAAAGCTATTCGCTATACCCGTTACTCGTGTTGTGCAAACATTTAGACTTTAATATACATAATACTATTTAAGAATGTATGTGTTTAGCCAATATAAGTATGTATGTTTAATATTTCCAGTCAATTTATTGCCTGCGCTAAAGCAGCGCTGGTGCTGATGCTCGTGCTGTAAAGCTGCAAGCGCTAAGAGATCGCCGAATTCAAATTGATAATTTGAACTTTTTTAGCTGAGTAACGGGTATCTAATAGTCGAGGCACTCGACTATAGCGTTCTCTCTTGTTTACCGCTGAAAATTTGATGAATTGCTGATTAAAATGTGATGAATTTTAGCTGTGATGAACTACGGAGCTGCTGAAATGTTTGACCAAACAGATGTGATCGTTGAAAGAAAAATATTTTATTTAAATTTCAAATTTCAAATTTTGACGATATTCAATGGGCTGGTAAATGTACATA